CATCGACATAGTCCTGCTCATTGGATCCAACTGCCCCAGCTTGATGAGCATCCGAGCTGAAAAGAGAGGTCCTCCTGGTGCACCTTTGGCACAGAAGACTCCTTTAGGATGGACCATACAGGGACCTGTATGTGTCGACAGAATGCATCCTCCGTCTTCTCTGTGTCCAGATCAACCCAACACCCTCAGCTGTGGCAGAGTCACCCTCATGCAAAGTTGCCTTAGCCACATTTCTGTTTGCTGCCAAGGAGTTTCATCTGAGTTTTCTTCCATCTTCGACGTGTCCCGGGATGATGAGAACACAGCGCTCTCCCTGAGATGAGCAAGCTTTCCTGAACGTCATGAACTCCGAGGTCACTCTCAGCAAGGAAGGGAATTGGATCGCCCCTTTGCCCTTCAAAGCAGACCGGCCTACCCTGCCTCCCAACAGACAAGTAGCAGATAAAAGACTGCAGTCTTTGAGACGCAAGATGCAGTGTGATCCCAAGACCAAACAGCAAATCGTTCAGGCTCAAGATTTACACCAGCTGAGCATCCCACGCCAATTCATGGCCAGGAGCCCTTTGCAAGGCTCACACACTGAACTCCATGTCTTTTGCGACGCTTCAGAGAAAGCTATCGCAGCTGTGGCTTATGCCAGACGCAAAGACTCTTTAGGTTTTGCTAAGGCCAAGGCTAAGATTGCCCCATCTCACGCCACTGTCCTTAGGTTAGGACTCTGTGCTGCTGTGCTAGCTATCCAATTAGCTCAGACAATTAGGAGAGAGACTAGGCATTTCTTTTCAGTCATCTTTACTTGTTTAGTTATCCGAGCCATTCACATCGAGGTGATTGAGTGTATGGATACTTCAGCCTTTTTGAATACAGAAAAGATTACATGGTTATTTAATGTACCGCATGCATCTCACATGGGGGGTGCGTGGGAACGTATGATTGGTTTGTATAGAAAGATTTTAAATGCTATGTTTCTAAAGTATAAGAATTTGACTCACGATGTTTTGGTCCGTTTATTATAGTGTAGATTTCTCATCATTGAGAAATCTAGGCCAGGAGTGTTCTGGAACAGCTGTTCCAGGAGCTCCAGATTTATTTGCTGTGTTTGCATGTTTGTGTGCAATCCCATGCTTGGGATTTGTAGCAGGGGGTTTCCTGTTATAATTTGCATTTATAGGGTAAGCCACCTGCCAGTTATAGTTAGGTTCCCTGATCCCGCCCCTTTTTGAGTTTTGGAGGGAACAAAGCCATTTTGAGTTAGTTCTCACAGAGAAGCCTTTCGCACAGGACATAGAACGAAGTGGCTCCTGTAGAAAAGCTTCGTCTTTTACAGCTTGGCCGGGGTTATACAGCCCTACGGCTTGGCCAGGAGACATACAGCCACAGCTTGGCTGAGGGACTCCAGCCGGCCATCACAGCAACCTGAACTCCTTCTTTTTCCCTGGAGGTCTACAAAGCTCTGTTGAGGCAAGGGTCACTCGCGGAAGCCAGACGCAGTTGGTACCGGGTGCAGGGGCTCCACGTCAACAGAGGCAAGTACAGACTGCCCAGATTAGAAGCTAGGATTTCCCCATCAGTTAGTTACAGTTAAGAAGACAGTGCCTGTTCCTAGTGGACAAGATTTGAAAGAGCCTATAGACTGTTAAGAAAACCGTTAAAGTACCTGTTTGTTCCTTAATAAAAGAACTTTGTTGGACTTACTTTAAGCATTCTAAAGACTCTGTTTGGGGGAATCTAAGGGCCTTTATTCTGAGGCAGCCCCGGCGTCCCGTTGGGCACAAAGAATTTATGTCCTGTGTACAGTCTAATGCACAGGCCCAGCGTGCGACAGCACATTATATATGATGTAGAATACACATTTCCTACTTATTACTTAGAACATGTTCTGTTGGCTTCTCTTGTAAACATATTTCCGCTTTCTAGACTGCAGTCTCATTGGAGGAAATCATGTTGAATCTACCAGTTCTTAGCAGGATCCATAGAACCATGTGGTCCATTTATACAAATAGAGTCTTCCTCAAGTTTCCAGAGATGTCCAGATTTCTTAAGTGGCCTGTTTGTTGCCTTGCCATTTGTTGTCCCCCCCCCCCCCCTATTTATTCTAGACATAAATCTTTCAACCAGTTCTGTGTCAGCCAACCCAGAAGGAATGTTGCATTTTGTGAAAAGATGTAACCAAATATGTGAGTCTTATTTTGGATTAATTCCTGAACTTGATACAAAAATGCATCTGTTTTGTTACATGAAACAGAAATTAATATGCACAGTAGGAACTTCAAGATGGTTGTCATTAAAAGAAATGTTGTACCCATGGTTGAACCAAGATGCCTCCCACACTACACAACTTTAGCACTATTGCACTATTTTAACAGCAGAGGATCCATTATGTGGAATCCTAGAACTTGCTATTTGGTGAGAATTCTAAGCAACCCCTCCTTGCCATTTCAGGATCTCATGAGATGGAACCATGACAGTTAAACTGCAAAAATAGTGCTATAATTCTGTAATATTATTAGACCCCAAAATGGGGCAACTGTCTTGGATCTTTGGAGGCAGCAGGGTGGCCAGTTCAGTCACTGCTTGACCCCCAATTTAACTGCCAGGGCTTAGTGCTATGGAATTCTGGGAGCTGTAGTTTGGTGAGGAACCAGCACTTTGGCAGAGCAGGCTACAGACCTTGCAAAACTACAACTCTTGTGATTCCATAGTTTTGAGCAATGGTGGTTAAAGTGGAGTCAAATAACATTAAATCTGCAGTAACACCAGAGCTCCCTGGTCATTCACCTCCCTTGAAGGACAAAACTTTATATTCTGTACACCATACTAACCCCATTTTCTCAGATGTTAATACAGGCCATTGCCAATGTTAAAGCAAACATCAGCCAGTCAGCTTCTGTGCCTTTATCCTGGCCTGCAAGCTGTCTTGATCTACCCTAGGCTTTGTAGTTTAATCATGACTCAGCTGAGGAGTCATGCAGTATGGCGCTCCATGCACATTGTATATGTCAATTATAATAAGCGGAGATTGGCTGAATGTGATCATTATATGACTTGTATCCTTCTAGGGCAGTGGTTCCCCAGAACTAAAATAAGGTCCATGGCCTCACTGTTACTATACCATTGCAGTGAGAATGACTGGTCTCGTGAAACCCTCTTATAGTGCAGAGGCAATGGGGATGTTGGGAAGGAAGCAGCTGACTACCCATGAAAGGCGCGACAACAAGCCCCATGACTGCTGCTTCTTTTCCTTCTCCCTCCCCCTGAGTGGAGCTGTTTCATGTGGATCCTGGAAGAGGGGGTGCCTTGGTGTCTTTGTTTGTAGGCCTGTTTCTGGGGTTACTTGGGGTGCTGATTCAGAAAATTGCATTGGCTAGACCACATCAGCTCTAAATTATTAAATATGGTTTCCTGTGGGTGAGTAGATGGCAACTACTGGATGGCATATGTTCTGTATCAAACTAGAGCTGATATCTATCCAATGCAATTTTCTGAATCAGCACCCCAAATTACCAAACTGAGTCTAAAGTTGACCAAAAACTGATTCATAATCCTTTTGGTACTAACGTTGGAGAGTGGTCCCTGATCAGAATGGTCCCTGGTCAAAAAAGGTTGGGAACCACTGTTTTACAAGTTCTTTAGCCTTCTCTGGCTGCCCCTCCAAACTACAAATCCCAAGATTCAACAGCATTGAGCCATGACATTTAAATATGCTGTTTATTTATTTATTTATTGCATCAGGAGGGAACAAAGGGTACAGTTGTAAAGTATTTACAAAAAACAAAGTTTAAAAAACTTGGCATATTAAATGTCCTGTCATGTTGCATAAATTCTAGATGCACCCAAAGTGATATCAAATTGCACAGTGTAGAGCAGGGGTCCTCAAACTAACGCCCGGGGGCCTGATATGGCCCTCCAAGATCATTTACCCGGCCCTTGCTCAGGGTCAACCTAAGTCTGAAAAGACTTGAAAGCATACAACAACAACAACCCTATCTCATCTGTCAAAAGTAGATCCACACTTCCCATTGAAATGCTAATAAGTTTATAGTTGTTAAAATTGTTCTTCATTTTTAATTACTGTATTGTTTTTAAGTGTTTTTGCACTACAAATAAGATATGGGCAGTGTATAGGAATTCATTCATGTTTTTTTCCAATTATAATCTGGCCCTCCAGCAGTTTGAGGGACTGTGACCTGGCCCACTGTTTAAAAAGATTGAGGACCCTTGGTGTAGAGACATATCTCTCGATGTAGTGGAGGAAAATTCTGAGAGTGCCTTGGACCGCCAGAAGATCCAACTGCACATTGGAGGGAAGGATATTTGAGGCAAAGATTAAGTACTTTGGCCACATCATGAGAAGACAGGAAAGCTTGGAGAAGACAATGATGCTGGGGGAAATGGAAGGAAAAGGGAAGAGGGGCCGACCAAGGGCAAGATGGATGGATGGCATCCTAGAAGTGACTGGCTTGACTCTGAAGGAGCTGTGGGAGGGCCTGACAGGGAGCTCTGGCGTGGATGGTCCATGAGGTCATGAAGAGTTGGAAGTGACTGAACAAATAAACGACGACAAGTGTAGAGACACCCATGGATATTTTAAAATGTGCTGAAAAGGAGGTGGCAGGATATTAACCGGGACTACTTACTAATCATTGAATGGACACAAACTTGGTTTCATGCAAAAAATAAAATAAAAACTGTATTAAATGACTTAATGACGATATGTGTATATGAAATGTAACTCAATTTCAGCCTCATCTCCAAGATTCCTCATTGTTGTATATGCAAGCATTCCAAGAACCCAAGCCTTTCGGGTAAGGGATGCTCATGATTGAGCATCCGCGGATCCGGGTATCCATGGAGTCCAGGGACCATGGAGTCCAGCCCGGAGGTGACAGCTTGCATGTGTTCTGCCGTGTAAGTGCAACCCTTGTCAGGGAAGCCTGCAAACGATCTGGCTGCCTAAGGTCCTTCCTTCCTTCTTTCCTTCCTTCCTTCCTTCTTCCTACCCGGCCCCGTGGACGACAATGCAGCGCCTCTCTCCGGCTCCATAGAGCTTCCCGACCAGGGCGGCCGCCCTCCGCAGGGCCTCCTCTTTCGGCCTCTCCAGCTGCTTCTTGTGCGTCAAAGCCCCGCCGCCCAGCTTCACAATGCAATCCACCGCAAGCGCCATCGCCCCGGCAGCGCGCGCTTCCTGCAGGTGAGTGCTGACTGGCTGGAGCTTTAACCCGCCCTCCTGTGGCGTCACTTCCTCTCCCCAGGTATTAACTCTTTGCCTCTCGCTTGCAAGGACGAGCCAGCATAAGCTGCATCTAAAGCAGGATGGAGACAGTTCCACCTTGTCTCCTGTGCTATTCTAATAATATATTATGATGTAATATAATATAATATATTGTATATGCATATAATATTTATAATATTATAATGTGATGGAATATAATATGATATTATAATTATAGAATTATATTACATGTAATATTACTAATAATATTACAATATAATGGTATAATACAATATAGTAATATTTAATACTGATATTGTATTATGCTAATAATATAGCTTGTAAGCCGCTCTGAGTCCCCTTCAGGGTGAGAAGGGCGACATATAAATGTCGTAAATCTATTTATAAATAAAAATGTAATGTTCGTTTGTGGGATTAACATAACTCAAAAAACCACTGGGCAAATTGACACCAAATTTGGACACAATACACCTATCAGGCCAACGAGTGACAATCGCTCACAAAAACACTGAAAAACACAGCAGAAGAGACTTGGACACATTCCAGCTTGTCAATATCTCTCTTGAATTGTGGTGCCCAGAATTGGACACAATATTCCAGGTGTGGTCTAACCAAAGCAGAATAGAGGGGTAGCATGACTTCCCTGGATCTAGACACTATGCTCCTATTGATGCAGGCCAAAATCCCATTGGCTTTTTTTTGCCGCCACATCACATTGTTGGCTCATGTTTAACTTGTTGTCCACGAGGACTCCAAGATCTTTTTCACACGTACTGCTCTCGAGCCAGGCGTCCCCCATTCTGTATCTTTGCATTTCATTTTTTCTGCCAAAGTGGAGTATCTTCCGCTAGTTCCTTCAATACTCTGGGGTGTAGTTGATCTGGCCCTGGGGACTTGAACTCATTAAGAGCGGCCAGGTATTCCTGGACGACTTCTTTCCCAATTTGGGGTTGGATGTCCTCCAATCCCTCATCCACTCCATCTTGCTGAGGTTGAAGACCTCTTTTTGTGAGAAGACCGAGGCAAAGAAGGCATTAAGTAGTTCTGCTTCATCCTACACCAGGCATGGGCAAACTTGGGCCCTCCAGGTGTTTTGGGCTTCAACTCCCACCATTCTTAATAGCTGGTAAGCTGTTCGGAATTGTGGTAGTTGAAGTCCAAAACACCTGGAGGGCCCAAGTTTGTCCATACCTGCCCTACACTATAAAATTGATGCAGTTTGACACCACTTTAACCTCCATGACTTAATGCTATGGAATACTGGGAGATGTAGTTTGGTGAGGTGCCAGCTATCTTTGACATATACATTTTAAAATGTAAAACTACAACTCTCATGATTCTAGCATTGAGCCATGGCAGTTAAAGAGATGACAAACTGCATTAAGGAGAGTGATCAGAGCAATGTATAAATTAAATTGGTATTAAAATGCCTTAATTCCACAGTGATGAACTGCATGAAGTGTTAGCACTAGCTTGCAAGAGTACTCCACTTTTCTTCCCTCTTTATGTTATTTTTCTTTTGTAGTCGAGGTTGCAAAATGATCCAGGATCCCTTACCAGGGCTGTTGGAACAAGGCAGCGGATTGGTTGCAAGCAGCATCAATCTCAGTGATGTCGACTAAAAATATCCGTGAAGATTAGCGTGGATTGCTGTTGTTTCAAGGAGCCGGGTTTGCTGTGGGCTTTGCGTTTTGCTGCATTTCGAATAAGCCCCTGATTCTGAGAGCAAACGGGTGAGTTTCCTAGCTGAGCCTGCAACCCATAATGCTGACCCAAATCACCAGATTTTTTGCTAACTGATTCATTTTCTTCGAATCGGGAGAAAATGGATTCAGGAGCAGGATCTGCGAACAAGCAGCTTTTAATTGCTGTCTCCAGGGAAGAGGCAGAAAGGCACTATTGCTTGGTCATACATACATTTCCTTTTGTTCCTCCCCAGCACCCCTGGTTTGCTGCTTTTGAATAGGAAGGATCCATTGAGATGTCATGGATGAGAATGTCCACCTACCAACGAACACGCCCCCTCTAGGAATTAACCCAATTTCTTTTTGTTGCCATTTGGACCAGTGGGCGAAATGTGTCGTAGCAATGAATTCTGTTTGGGAGTATCATATTGAGTCTTTTCATATGTAATGCCATGGCCCTATTTGGTATATTTGTGGTTTGCATCCTCCTTTCTCTAGTAAGATCTAGGTTTGTCTCAAATCAGGTTGCCAATACTTCTGAACTATGAACATTTGCTTTGTACCATTCATTCTCAATTTTCAGTCATTCAATTGTTACGGACTTCAGTTTCCAGCTAGCTTGGCCACAGTCAGGGATTCTGGGCATTCAAATCCAACCTAACCACTGCCTTATGCTTTTACTGGGAACCCCTGGTTTTGCAATGGATTAAACCCTTGTGCTGGCAGGACTGCTGACTGATAGATCAGCGGTTAGAATCCCATGCGAGTGGGATGAGCTCCCTTTGTCAGCTCCAGCTCCCCATGCAGGGGCATGAGAGAAGCCTCCCACGGGGATGGTAAAACATCAGGGCATCTCCTGGGCAACGTCCTTGCAGACGGCCAATTATCTCATACCAGAATCAACTTGTAGTTTCTCAAGTCACTCCTGACATGGAAAAAATGGTTTTGCTGCATTCATGAATCATTGAGTTGAAAAAGACCTAATGGGCTATCCAGTCCAACCCCCTGCCAAGAAGCAGGAAAATCACATTCAAAGCACCCCCGACAGATGGCCATCCAGCCTCTGTTTAAAAGCTTCCAAAGAAGGAGCCTCCAACACACTCCGGGGCAGAGAGTTCCACTGCTGAACAGCTCTCACAGTCAGGAAGTTCTTCCTAATGTTCAGGTGGAATCTCCTTTCCTGTAGTTTGAAGCCATTGTTCCGCGTCCTAGTCTCCAGGGCAGCAGAAAACATTGGCAGAAAAACTGAAATGCAAAGATACAGAATGGGTGACGCCTGGCTCGAGAGCAGTACGTGTGAAAAAGATCTTGGAGTCCTCGTGGACAACAAGTTAAACATGAGCCTACAATGTGATGTGGCGGCAAAAAAAGCCAATGGGATTTTGGCCTGCATCAATAGGAGCATAGTGTCTAGATCTAGGGAAGTAATGCTACCCCTCTATTCTGCTTTGGTTAGACCACATCTGGAATATTGTGTCCAATTCTGGGCACCACAATTGAAGAGATATTGACAAGCTGGAATGTGTCCAGAGGAGGGCGACTAAAATGATCAAGGGTCTGGAGAACAAGCCCTATGAGGAGCGGCTTAAGGAGGTGCATGTTTAGCCTGAAGAAGAGAAGGCTGAGAGGAGATATGATAGCCATGTATAAATATGTGAAAGGAAGCCACAGGGAGGAGGGAGCAAGCTTGTTTTCTGCTTCCCTGGAGACTAGGACGCGGAACAATGGCTTCAAACTACAAGAGAGGAGATTCCATCTGAACATGAGGAAGAACTTCCTGACTGTGAGAGCCGTTCAGCAGTGGAACTCTCTGCCCGGAGTGTGGTGGAGGCTCCTTCTTTGGAAGCTTTTAAACAGAGCTGGATGGCCCTCTGTCAGGGGTGATTTGAATGCAATATTCCTGCTTCTTGGCAGGGGGTTGGACTGGATGGCCCATGAGGTCTCTTCCAACTCTTTGATTCTATGATTCTATGATTCTATGATTCTATGATTCTATTCATACATGGCCATCATGTCTCCTCTCAGCCTTCTCTTCTCCAGGCTAAACATGCCCAGCTCTTTAAGCCACTCCTCATAGGCCTTGTTCTCCAGACCCCTGATCGTGTGAGTTGCCCTCCTCTGGACATTTTTCCAGCTTGTCAACATATCTCTGCCCAGAATGTGACACAATGTGATTCCAGGTGTGGTCTGACCAAGGCAGGATAGAGGGGTAGCATGACTTTCCTGGATCTAGATACTACATTCCTATTTATGCAGGCCAAAATCCCATTGGCTTTTTAAGCTGCCACATGACACTGTTGGCTCATGTTTAACTTGTTGTCCACAAGGACTCCAAGATCTTTTTCACACCATGAAAAATATCATGGATGTCATCATGAGTGAAAGGACTCACTGGTTGGTATGGATGACGGTTGTTTTTCAATGATAAATAATGTGCTGGTTGATGCTGCAAAGTTTCTCCCATCTGCTTATTGTTACATTTGTGCTTATCAATGGTTCTTCCTCATCCTAGAGAGAAGTGACTATTAGGTGCCACAAGGTTCAGTCCTAGGCCTGGTGCTCTTCAACATCTTTCTCAATGACTTGCATGATGTAATAGAAGGGATGCTTATCAGATTTGCAGATGACACCAAATTGGGAGGGAGGGAACCTGAACCCTCAGAAGATGGGTTCAGGTTCCAAAATGACCTTAAAATATTAGAGAGCTGGGCCAAAACCAACAAAACGAATTTCAACAGGGATAACATGGCCAATAAAAATGAAATGCATAACTATAGGATGGGTGACACCTGGCATGAAAAAAATACACGTGAAAAAGATCTAGGAGTCTTGACAGACCATAACATGAAGATGAGTAATCAGTGTGATGCAGCAGCTGGAAAAGCCAATGCAGTTGTTGGTTTCATCAAAAGACATATAATGTCTAGCTCAAGAAAAGTAATAGCCCCATTCTTTTCATCAGCCCTCACTTGGAATACTGTTCTAGGCACTGCAATTCAAGAAGGACATGACAAGCTAGAACATGTCCAGAGAAGGTTGACCAAAAAGATCATATGACTGGAAGCCAATCCCTATTAGAAGCATCTTAGGGAATTGAATATGCTTAGCTTGGAGAAGAAAATTAAGAGGGGACATGATAAAGGTAAAGGTTTCCCCTTGACATTAAGTCTAGTCATGTCCGACTCTTGGGGGTGGTGCTCATCTCCATTTCTAAGCCGAAGAACCGGCGTTGTCCGTAGATGGCATGACTGCATGGAGCACTGCATGGAGTGCCGTTACCTTCCCACCGGAGCGGTACCTATTGATCTACTCACATTTGCATGTTTTTGAACGGCTAGGTTGGCAGAAGCTGGGGCTAACAGCAGGAGCTCACCCCACTCCCTGAAACCACTGACCTTTCGGTCAGCAAGTTCAGCAGCTCCATGGTTTAATCTGTTGTGCCACCAGGGGGCCCTGAGGGGACATGATAGTAATGTTAAAATATTGGAAACGATTTTCCCGCATGGCAGAAGGGGGTTGGACTGAATGGCCCCCAGGGGTCTTCTACTGAAATACTGTTGAGTTTATGTTGGTCAAAAGAATTGCCCATGCCTGATATTATATATGCATGCGCATTATATATACTATAATATAGAAACATTTATTGGGGCTCCATGAAAAACGTTTGCATCAAAAAGCGTTCCACAGCTGAAAAGATTTGAGAACCCCTACTCTAGGGACTAGGGCATGAAGCAAAGAATTCAAATGACAGGAAAGAGATTCCACCTAATCATAAGAGTTGTTTGGCAATGAAATACACTGCCTGAGAATGTGGTGGAGTCTCTTTCTCTGGAGGTTTTTAAGCAGAGGCTGGATGGCCATCTGTTGGGAGTGCTTTAATTGTGTGTGTTCCTGCATGGCTGGGGTTGGACTAGATGTCCCTTGGGGTCTTTTCCAACTATGATTCTGTGTGTTCTGTGTTATCCATACAGATGTAGATTTATCTCTGGTTGGCTTGTTCTGTAACAAACAAAAGAAGGTTTGTTTTAGATTTCCTCCTCTCAAGTAACTGATCCACAGTCATTGTGAAGGACCATTTTGCTTTCTCTGAACCTTTCTGAGCTATCTTGGTGACACATCTCCAATTTTAAACAAGGAAGGGGAAAATGTAGCAGTGCCTTTAAGACTAACTGGTTTTTATATTACCATGAGCATTTGTGCATATGAACCCAGTCGTTCAAATGTGGTTTCTTGATAAGGACATAAGCATTTCTTATTTTCTAGCTTATTCATAATATCTTACATCCCATACATATATTTTTCATCTTGGTTTTAGATGTGAGGAATTGCAAATGTTTTTCTTTCTCTTGAAAGGACACGTTTTCCAACACCTCCATTGTTTCAGCTGCCTGCTTATTACTTTTTCAATTCTTCAGTGTTCTTTTTTGATAAGTTGCCAAGATCTCTATGCAGTATTTTTAAATACTGCATAAAGGTTACTAGGAATCATATTTCCGGATTTGCAAATCAGCTTGTTCCTTTTTATCAAAGGCATGTTTTACAGGGACTTTTCTGGCATTGAGAGTCACTAACCATTCCCATGTGGATTGGCACAATGCTGTTGCTTTCTCTGCTTGAACAGTGGTCCGTGAAATGGTTTGTGAAGCTTCACAACCCTGCTATGTTTCCCAGTGGCTCCATTTCCATCACAGGTCCCTTTTCTGCAGATTTATTTTTAAAAAGGAAGGCAAATATTGCTTTTTCCCAGACAGTGTGTGGTGAGATTTCTATCTACATTGGTTCACAAGCCTGGGATGTGATATCTTCTCTATTAGCAGCTGCCACCCAGTTCTATTTTTTAAACTTGTTCACTTAATGTTTGCACTGAAGTGCAAGTTGCCAAATCAAGTGTGAACTAGCTGCTTATAGGTGGCTCTTGAAATTAAGGTGAGAGTAAGCAATGTTGCACAGTCTTGAGAAATGGATGAGTGAATGACAGATCTGTAGATTTGCTAAAAAGCAATTATTGGTTGCCATGGGGAATATTAACAGCAGCATTTGTCTGGATGCTGTGCCAGATTTCTCCTCTTGAACAAACTGATACAGGGCCAAAGCATCCATGATGGAAAGAGTTGTGTTCTTAATCTTATGTATGTATTTATATGAAAAGTATTTATTGCTTGTCATCCTGCCAGGTTTCCAATGATATGAATAAAAGGTTAACACTTTCCTTAGAATACACTAAAATAGAAGCAGCATTCTTTAAGAACAGATTAAAACAGCTTCAGAAGCCAGCCTATCAAGACCAAAGACCATGTAGAACAATACAATCTTGGCTAGTGACCAACAGCTGCATTGGAATGGAACCAGTCTAATTTACCTTGGGTTGGGGTTTCACAATCAAGATGCTGCAACAAGAAAAACTCCATCCAATGTGCTCATTAATGTAGCCTCTTGATCCAGATGAACATTGATGGAGCACAAGTCCTCCAAATATCTCGAATTCTCATGTTGTCTCATTTTTTTCATCTGCTTTTCTCTCTCCTCCCTTTTTCCAATTTCTTTTGTTGCTGCGAACAGAGTTCAAACTACAAACACAATGTTGGGGAGAGAGGAGGGGACAGAGCCTTAGGATTCTTCTATACCAGCATTTCTCAAGCTGGGGGTCGGGACCCCTGGGGGGGTCATGAGGGGGCGTCAGGGGGGTCACCAAAGATCATTAGAGAACACAATATTTTCTGTTGGTCATGGGGGTTCTGTGTGGGAAGTTTGGCCCAATACTATAGTTGGTGGGGTTCAGAATGCTCTTTGATTGTAGATGAACTATAAATCCCAGAAAGTATAACACCCAAATGTCAAGTCTGTTTTTTTCAAACTCCACCAGTGTACACATGGGGGCATATTGAGTATTTGTACCAAGTTTCATCAAGATCCATCATTGTTTGAGTCCACAGTACTCTCTGGATATAGGTGAACTATAACACCAAAATTCAAGGTCAATGCCCACCAAACCCTTCCAGTATTTTCTGTTGGTCAGGGGAGTTCTGCCAAGTTTGGTTCAATTCCATCATTCGTGGAGTTCAGAATGCTCTTTGATTGTAGGTGAACTATAAATCCCAGCAACTACAACTCTCAAATGACAAAATCTATCCCCCCCAACCCCACCAGTATTCAAATTTGGGCACATCGGGTATTTGTGCCAAATTTGGTCCAGTGAATGAAAATACATCTTGCATATCAGATATACATTACGATTCATAACAGTAGCAAAATTACAATTATGAAATAGCAACAAAAATAATTTTATGGTGGGGGGGGGGGTCATCACAACATGAGGAATAGAGGCAGGTAAGAAAATCTTACTATCAAAAATGCCATTCATTTAATTGCAGAGTGAATAATGTTAAAAGAGAATGCTTGCTTGGAAGTGTTTTCCGACATAAATTGTTATTATTTTCATGTCAGGAGTGAGTTGAGAAAATGCAAGTCGCTTCTGCTGTGAGAGAATTGGCCTTCTGTAAGATCGTTGCCCAGGGGACACCAAGATGTTTTACCATCTGCTGGGAGGTTTCTCTCATGTCCCCACGTGGGAAGCTGAAGTTGACAGACGGGAGCTCGCCCCCCTCCCCAGATTCGAATAGCTGACCTTTTGGTCAGCAGTCCTGCTGGCACAAGGGTTTAACCCATTGTGCCACCAGGATATCCACATAAATTAATTCTAATAATGTTTTTCGCGGTGCCAAACATCCAGATGTTGTGGGTGTAATACAGCTTGGAAGAGGAAACTGATTAAATCTACCCTTTTTACTGAAGCTTTATTTTCTTATTTAGATCTCTAAATGTTAATTTAGTTAAAGTATCTAAAGTTTTCTACTCACCTGAATTGTGTATCTTGATCAACAACTTTCTTTTGATGGGAAGAAAACAAGGGTTCTTTTTAATGTCTTATTGTTAATGTTTCCAGACTAAGTAATCATTAAAGGGACATTTTAAAACAACAACTATGCAATCTTGTTTGTGAATCACAAACAGTGGGATTAAGTCGTAGGCATTCCAAATTATCAAGGTAATGTATTAGGTTTCATTTGTTTCAAAAAGAGGTAGTATGTGTTGATATCTCTTTTCCACTCAAGTTCCTTCATGGGGCCACCTACACAGACCACACAATGCAGCTTCAAACTGGTATTGAAGAAAGTGGTTTCACTGTGCAGATAATTACATAGGAAATCCTAGAACCAGTTTGAAGCCCAGATGGTCATTTCACAAACCACACAGCATCGCTGTGCATGAAGTTTTGCATGCTTTTCTGGGAATTTGTTTTCTTGCCATCTCAGTTTGAAACTGTCTTTAAGTCATTAGTGTAGATTGCGCCGTGATATATTTGTATACATCTTGGGAACATATTTTACAAGATATTAAGAACTCACATGACTAAAAATAGGTTGGTCAACAAACCAACACCACCTTTTTCCCATGTATACTAAACAGCTGTGCAAACACATTTTTAAAAAAATGTGCAACTTTTTCCCTGTTAAAAGCATGACTGGAAATGGATTGTATAATTAGCACATTGGTTAACAGAACAACTTCTGTCAGTGAGATGGGAAAGGAGCTGGTTCCTGGTCCATCCTGCAGCCATCCACACATAGTCTCAATATATGCTTGATATGAGCTTTCATGTTTTCTTTAAATATTTGGATTATTTAAGAAAATAAAATAAAATATGGGATCTCTATGGTAAACCATATTGTTATCATGTGCCTCCAAATCATCCCCAACATATAGTCATCTAAGGTAAGCCTTTCATGGGATTTTCTTTCTAAATTTTGTTCTGGTAAGTAGAAAAGAATATGTTTTTCTTCTATCAGGAAACAGATGCCCATATTGCAGTATCTCTTTTATCTAGGAACAGTGAGTGACATTCTTGAAAGCATTTGTTGATTTTACCATTTCTTTGTTCCAGGTTTCTGTGATGCTCAAGCAGCAACTCTGAAAAACCATGAACTACTTGTCCCTTGCAGCCTTTGCTTGGTGTGTCCTCTTACCGCCGTCTGAATCCAGTAAGGTGAGGAAGAAAACAAAAGGGAGAGGAACTAAAAAAAATGCTTAGCACTAGACCTTGAATAAGCACAAGGTGCAGGAGTTCGAGTGAGCCTGAGAAAAATCTAGTCTTGCAAGTTTCCCCTTTTTCACTTCCCCCTTTTTCTTCATCATCAAACCAAGAAAAAAACATTAAAATACTATTTGTAGATCATGATTTAAAAGAACAGGTGGAAATTGTGTGGCCTGTGGATAAGGCCCACCAGAGTCCCTTGCAGAGCTTTCACCCCATACTTGCATATCCAAAAACGATTTATCTCCCCAGAAATGATGGATCGGGCTCCTCAAAGTCTGTTCAGTCATCTTCATTTTGGGAAAATGGGTGGGTGTATACTACCAAAAATGGAATCATTGTGGCTCTGGGACCTTCCATGATTCCTTACTCCTGGTTTAAAACAAGCTCCTATTATTTCTACAAATCTGATTCATAAACCATGTTTTGAAGTAAGGTTATGATAGGACTGAATAGTGCTTGTTTTAAATTGAGAGCTCTGTTTCATACAACACAATGTGACATAATTCTTTAATAATAAATCTATAACATCCAAAAGTCCATCAGGCCATATAAGACAATATAGAACATACAAAGCATAAGGTTGGTTTAGGCTTGTATTAAGTAGGTTTGGCCCAAGCTATACACCATTAAATAAATAATGGTGGCACAGCAGTGTTAACCGCTGAGCTGCTGAACTTGCTAACCAAAAGGTTGGCAATTTGAATCCAGGGAGGGGGGTGAGCTCCTGCTGTTAGCCCCAGCTTATGCCAATGTACAGTTTAAAAACATGCAAATGTGAGTAGGTCAATAAGTACCATCTTGGCAGGAAATTAATGACGCTCCATGCAGTCATGCCAGCTGCATGAGCTAGGAGATGTCTACAGACAACGCTGGTTCTTTGGCTTAGAAGTGGAGATGGGCACCACCCCCCAGAGTTGGACACAACTAGAATTAATGTCAGGGAAAACCTTTACCTTTTACTTTAAATAAACAAAAATCACATAGTGTCGTAAAGGTGCTGGCTGGGTATTACAGTGTTTTAATTTAATATATCTGAAGGGCACCCAGTTAGTGTTTTCCGTGTCAGTGGGGTGGTGACACCCATGTTGGATTTCATTCTGAACTTTAAAAGCTCAGGTACTGTTTTAGTGATAAGCTTTGGAAATTAAAAGAGGAGGAAAGTGCTAATTAATTCAACTGGTGATGCTGTTGCAAATATTTTATTCAGTGATGTGGAAAGACATTTTATTATGCCATTTGTATCCTATTTTTCTTCAATAGGCCTTTGAAGACATCCGCTGCAAGTGTATCTGTCCCCCATATAGGAATATCAGTGGTCAGATTTACAAAAACAATGTATCACAGAAAGACTGGTGAGTTGACCATCTATAATTTTAAAATCTTTAAGCAAACAGTAAGTACTTTTGGAAGCCATAAAATGGAGTTAATATATCTAGAGGGCACCTAGTTGAAGACCTAGCACAGGGACTTTTTGGACCTGCCCACTGTTTATGCTTGTTTCTTGCCATTGCAGCAACTGCCTGCATGTGGTGGAGCCTATGCCAGTGCCAGGACATGATGTGGAGGCTTACTGCCTGCTGTGTGAGTGCAAGTATGAGGAGCGAAGCACCACTACCATCAAGGTACAGACAATCCCATCTTTGTATCTTGTTTGCATCAACATGCAAGACAGACCCATGAGAGGATTGGTATTAAAAGCCTATGCTCTACTAACAGCTTTTACATATCTGAGTGTCCAGTGCCATGTTTTTCACATAGCTCATAGCTGTCGCTAAAAAGAGCCTGGTAAAGTTACCCTTTGAACTGTAATGCCTGGAAACTCCTAGCCAGCAAGGCTAGGTGACTCTGAAATCTGTGGTCCAAAATGTGATTGTTCTGAAGTAGAGGAGTATCTAGGCTTGTAGCTATGGAGCAAAATTACTCTCTCAAAATATACTGCCAAATGCTGTGGCATGAAGGAAAAAATCTGCTTCTCTCACACCCCAAATGTCTAGCATTGCAGTAATTTTAAACTTCAGGTGCATTTAGAAATAGAGTTTAGGCATTCAAAGACAAGGGGCAGGTGAAGTTACCAGCAGAATGAGAACACAGAAAATATATATAACAATTCTAGGTTTCAATTGTTTTCAATGTCTGAGCTCTCTGCAGTGCTCTAAATATGAAGGACAATTTCATTGGAGAGGGCAAATTTCTCATTTGGAAGAGTGATGTCCCTTGAGCTATATCCCTTTGTCAATTCTACATGTACTTAGAAGCAGAGACATGTACTGAACAAGTCAGCAGAGCAAGCCTTCAGCTCCTTCTCCTCATCAAATGTCTGTAGTGCAGATTGCAGTCACCATTGAGAATCTTCGCCTAAATGAGGCATCAACGAGACAAACTTTTCAGTTACTGCATGTACTCATGTACAAGTCCAGAAAATCTACTAAAAATTAACCTGAAAAACCTGAGTTGACTTTAGCATGGGTCAATATAAATATGGTACCTTAACTCTTGTGAAAACGGAACCACATTTATCCATGAATCATATCAAAATCCATATTTTTGGCCTTTATACTTGTTCTTGACTTACACATCAAGTCAACCAGTATACAGATATATAAAGTAGATTATGTGACATAACTTCTAAATTACTTGATTTTGAGGTGCTAGATATCTGGGAACAGTTAATGCCTGTTAGTAATTCCAGTGACACATTCAGTCTTATCCTGGCTTGAGCCATTAACCAGCAAAGAACTTGAGTTGATTTCTTTCTGTTGTTTTGCAGTTACAGCTTCTATTTCAACCCATGAACTAAAAGTAGCACACAGGGCTTTCATCTTTCCCACTTGCCTCACCACAATCCACAGTCACAATCCACAGTTTTATGGATTAATAGGGACTAGAACCTGGAACTCTCAAACCTTGGATTAATACTGATCTTGTTTGCATCTTTTTTGTTATTCTTGTGCCACAGTGATCCTGCTGGAAGTGGTAGGTTCTGTTTCCTCCAAGATATCTGATCACACTTTACTTCTTTTATCATGCAGATTATCATCATCATTTACCTCTCAGTGATTGGAGCCCTCTTGCTCTACATGGTCTTTCTCATGGTGGTGGACCCTCTCATCCGCAAGCCTAGCGCTTACACCCAACCCCTGCACAATGAAGAAGAGACTGAGGTGAATCTAATGCTGCATCAAATTGATTCCTCGTTTTTACTGCATGTAGGTAAAATGTTTGGTTTTTTATATCCTGAGCATTTCAAACATTTCTCTTTTTGGTGTTGCAGGACACCCATTCATTGGCACCTGTCCGTCCTGCAGCCAGCAACAGGGCAAACACCGTGTTGGAGAGAGTTGAAGGGGCCCAGGAGAGATGGAAACGTCAGGTGCAGGAACAGCGGAAGACTGTGTTTGATCGGCACAAGATGCTGAGCTAGACCTTACTGGGAATTTTCAGGAGTCGAGCACCAGCTGCTGCTTAGCTAGGCAGAGGGTTTCTCTTACCCAATACAAAACCCAACACCTGTAGTCTAAATATTTTGCACCCTTCCTTCCTTTCTTGTTTGGCTTATCCTTGCCTCCCCAATTCCAGAGAACATGTGACATTGGAGCAAATTACTGTCTGTGATTTCCAAAAAAAATGAAATTTTAACACTGGAGTATTCCTCTCCCCAAACATTTCCTGAGTTCACTATGTTGGTACAGATCTTGCTGCTTGATTAATTTGTGATCTGTGAAAGTTGGAAAGACCAGGCTGCAGTATACCTGCTTGTATCCAACAATTTTAAATAGCAGCAAACTTTGCTTAGTCCTATAATCAAGTTCAACAATGAAAACAGGAGCACCTAGGGTTTTGTTCATTTTGTTGTTGCTTTATTGCTGTCAGTTTTCTCCGAGATGGAGAAACATTCATAATTGAACTGGAATTGCAGTTAGCATCTCTGTTGGATCTCTTAGCATTAAACATTCGGTGTGAAACTTCACTTCTGTAACAGTGTAAAAGACTTAAAACGAAGTGGTGTAGTCTCACATAGAGAGGTCTCCTATGGAAATTTTGGACTATCCAGTCTCATGAACTCAGATAAGTAATCCCTTAAGGGTTCCTTTCAGGTTTGCTGTAACCATGCACCAAAGAAGAGCAAAGAAGCAAGCTGTCTGGTTCAGGTGCAATGCTACACTGTGGCTTAGCATGATATCATTTGCTGTTGGGACAGCTGCTTGCATGAACACCTTAACCAAGGAGAATTGTCATTCTGCATGGGGAATTCTGGTTCTGTATGTAACAACTACTCTCTGAGTTGTACTGTAAAGGGTCTCTTTTTTTAAGAAGAGAAAAATAATTACATATTTATGTTTTTAATATTTCTTTTATGATGCCAGGTCAAATTTGTGTATTTTTTCACAATGATAGGTCTGCAGTAACTACCAGCATATTATTTATAGCCATAAAATAAGGGTTGGAGGGTTTCACAGCACTCTATCAGGCAAGAATACTTTACTAAAGCACACATGAAAGATACTCATCCAACCTGTTTAAAGACCTCTAAAGATGGAGATTCTACCACACTCCAAAGCAACCCAATCCACTGTCAAGCAGCTCTTAAAGTAAAAAAAAAAGTGTTTTCTAATATTTGTGTAGGATCTCTAAAATTTAAGTATATCGTCATTCAAGTTGATAGCCAAGCTATTTTGATGGGGTAGCCACCTGTCTCATTTGACTGGGCAACAAACTGTCCCAGTGACCATGTTGAATGGGCAGGAGCTTGGGAGCTGTCCAAAAAGTAACTTTGCCTATTTCTGACTTCATATCACATCACACTATTAGGATTCAGTGCTCATTGGAACATCTGGAGGGATTGACATTCCTGTTTGTTTCCCTCAAACCCAATGTGATTTGCCCAGATATTTTGTGCCACTAGTGGAAGTAGGGTTGCCAGGCAGGATAAAGGATGGGAGTCTTGCAACTTTGATGCTGAATAGATTGAGAAGCAGAACAAGGTACCACAATATTCTGCCAAAATAGCAAAATTTAACAATTTCCCCTTATATTTTAGACTCAGGTTTCCAATGGCAACACAATTCTTGCCTGCCCAGTGCAAACTGGAGGAGAGGGATTGCAATGCTACAGGGAATAAGAACAGAACTGGGGTTTCTCTTCCTCCCTCTCCCTCCCCCCAATTTCCACCAAAGAGGCAAGAATCGTGTTTGGAGAGAACACTTGAAGATGAAAGTTTAAGCCTGAAAGATAAGGGAAGACAGGTCCATTTTGATAGAATATTTACTTCATCCTGATTCTCAGACTACTCAGGATTTAAGTTACAAGAACTTCATCCTGTCCGAACCTGGCAGCCATAGATGAAGGAGTAGAGCACTTGTGAGATGTAATCTAGATCAAATAGACAAACAGAAAAAGATATTCAAGAATGGCCTGTATTCCTTCTGCATGAGAAATATTTATGTATTAAATTATCTCTTTTTTATTTTCTTAAAGGGACATCTGGCAGATTAGGCCGGTCCTTGTTACTATGCAGTATCTTTTAATTAAACCATGAAACTGGTGTGTTAACTCTTGGTACTGTCTTTTTGTTTTCTGGACATTCTTCTATCCAAAATGTCACACAACTTCTCCAAGAAGAGTTAAAAAATATAGCAACGGATAGTCAGAACGAAATATGAATCTATTCTAAAATATATGCAACTTTCTAGTCAGGCTATGACTAGAGATAGTTATTTGAGGAAGCCGATACCACATTTTTAATGGGAGGACAAGTTGATGTGGAACATTTATAAGTCACTCTTTTGTTAAAATATTTGAAATTGTGCATGAAATTAAAAACATGGGTACCATGTTGGGATACAAAGCAAATATAAATTAAATTAATAACAATGAAAACAATACTATAGATCAGTGGTTTTCAACCTGTGGGTCCCCATATGTTTTGGCCTTTAACTCTCAGAAGTCCTAACAGCTGGTAAACTGGCTGGGATTTCTGGGAGTTGTAGGCCAAAACATCTGAAGACCCATAGGTTGAGAACCACTTTTATGGCTACTATAACATTTTAGCCCAACTAATTGAAAAAGTATAAGAAAACATTGAAAGAGCTATCATGGGGTAGTGGTTTGGGTGTTGAACTAGGGTTATGGAGACAAGAGTTTGACTCCCCATTCAGCCGTGGAAACCCACTGGGTGACCTTGGCTGAACCACATTCTCTCAGCCTCTGATCCAGTCTTGCCAAAACAATCCCTCTCATCTCAGTGTGGGGCAACACTGAAGAATTCTTGCCAAGTACATCCCATGTTGGCTTTGACTTAGGGTCACCATAAATCAAAAGTCTTGAAAGCACACAACACAAACAAGAGAATCTGGAAGACTGAAATTTTGTTCCTTATAGAAGGCATTAAGAGTTAGATTGAGATATTTGAACTTGTGCATTTCTCTGATATGTCATCTGATGTCTCTTTCATCCTCTGCCCCAAGAACATCAAGTGAAGATGAAATGAAGATCTTCCTATAGCTCAGGATTTCTTAAACTTTTTCTACTCGCCTGGGAAATTTTTACATCATCTGTATCAAGGCTTTCTAAACAGGTTGATTTCCCTTTTTGAGTTGAAGCATTTTCTATAGAATCCGCTGCAAACACCACATGTTGTTCTTAACGGATTTGTGTAAATGGGCAGCATTCAGAAATGTTTTACTGTTGCCAAATTTTTCATGACCCCAACATTGAACTAAAGGAATCACATTTGGAGTCGATACCCACAGTTTTAAAGAAAGTGCTATGGTTCATGTTTTTATTTTTATGTATTTTATCAGGATGATTCTGTTTGCTGCATTTTTCCACAGGGCATTGACACTGATCTGATGCAGCAGCTCCCTCATGTGGATTCTGGTATAAATTTACAGAAATACGTTTCTCATTAGCCAAGAAGGCACTTCTGCCTTTTAGAGCCATTCATTTGCTTGGCCAAATTAACTCTCTCACAAATCAAAGTGATATTCAGTGCATATCATTTTTACCTGAAATGTAACACTTTTCTTTAGAAAAATGTAGCTGTACAAAGCAAAGTTGTTTTTTATTTGTTTCTTCTGGACAACTGAAATGGGAATCAATGTAGTTAGAAAACAGAAGGAATGTGAATTCATTTCAGTTGAATCCCAAACACAGAATAATTTGAAGCAATGTCATGAATCTGCCTGAACTGACTGTAGCAATTTCTCAGATCTGCCTTAGGGTCTTCCAAAGATTTTTAATACCAAGCCTGCTTTGATAAGGCGATCCTATGATTTGAAGGGATTCCACTCCCCCTTTTTTTAAACAGGCAGGTTTTATCCAGAGATAGAATATTGGTCACAGAAATAAGACACTGCCCAACACAAGCATTCATAGTAAGGTTTTCCCCTGACATTAAGTCCCATCGTGTCCGACTCTGGGGGTTGGTGTTCATCTCAATTTCTAAGCAAAAGAGCCGGCGTTGTCCGTAGACACCTCCGAGGTCATGTGGCCAGCATGACTGCATGGAGCGCCGTTACCTTCCCACAGAAGCTGTACCTATTGATCTACTCACATTTGCATGTTTTCAAACTGCTAGGTTGGCAGAAGCTGGGCCTAATAGCTGGAGCTCACCCTGCTCCCTGGATTCAAACTACCAACCTTTTGGTCAGCAAGTTCAGCAGCTCAGCGCTTTAACCCACTGCACCACCAGGGACTCCATTCCAAATAATACCACAACAACTGAAAAAAATAATGGGTTTCTCAAAATCTTCTAGATAATTTTTTCTTAAATTCCTTAACATTCCCTTCACAATTTCTTTTTCCTTATTCTAAGCTACTTGTAAAGACTGAGATAGGAGAGAGAAGGGAAGGGGGTATTTTTTTTTTCTTGGCAATTGATAGCAGTATCTGCCTGATTCTCATCTCTCTTTCAATCTCTCCACTTCCAGCTTACATTAAAAACGCCCTGCCAATTGTCATATTTGAACTTTTTTCAGAAATCAAAGGGGTGAAACGACTGGGTTGCTTGAATCAGCCCAAATTAAATTCCTCTTGCAGTTTCAGTCTCAACAGACACAATAAATTATGATAATCCTATTGGATGGTTAAAGGGTTAATTGGGCATCTTAAGATGGGAAAGGGATCAAGATAAAAATAAAATAATAAGGATTAACCTCTGCCTTGAAAGTTTCCAGATGTTGTTCTTCAAGTATGTCTTGGCACATATTCCTGGACCTTCTCTTTGAGCCATAGGGAGATTCTGTCCTAATGCTTTAGGGGAGCCTCGTAATTCAGTTCTGAAGCTCCGAAAAAAATGCAATAGAAAACTCTCCCTTCTATAATCACATATGTTTATAAGATAACTTTGGCACTGTTGGGCTTATAATGTTTTCTTAAAAGCTCCCTTGTGGAAGCTAGCTATATATCTATATTGCATTTCAGTTAGATAGTAGACGTATCAAATATACTTGCAGAGCCAAGTAAAGACATTTTACTGCCTCAGTCGAAGAACAATATGGCATCTTCACTCATTTTATATGCAAAGCAGTGCAGTATCTATTTTTCCATTGCTAATATGAGATTGGAACATAACCAAGGATGCATTTACATTGTAGAATGAATTCAGCTTGATACCACTTTAACTGCTGTTGCTCAATGCTGTGAAATCATGGGAATTATAGTTTGGTGAGGCACCAGCACTATTTGGCAAAGAAGATCAAAGATCTTAAAAACTACAATTCTCATAATTCCATAGCATTGAGTCATGGAGGTACAATGGCTACTGTATATAACCTCAACATACCAATTTGGCTACTTCTGGGTGAGTTTGTGTGCTGCATTTCTGTAATGTATGCACAAAGCTAAATTTTTGCTTGACAAACCATTTAAAAATTGGGGCAACATTAGAAAGAGACTCATGTACTGCAGGGCTGGGTGAACCTTTTTGGGTTGGGGCCAAAATCCAATTTTGGAAGGATTTCAGGGACCTTTTACTTTTTTCCTATCAGGTAAATAAAGCATAAGGGTCCCCCTGGTGGCACAGTGAATTAAACCATTGAGCTGCTGCCAACCTAGTAGTTCAAAAACATGCAAATATGAGTAGATCAATAGTTACCGCTTCTGCGGGAAGGTAACGGTGCTCCATGTAGTCATGCTGGCCACATGACCTTGGAGGTGTATATGGACAATGCCAGCTTTTCAACCTAGAAATTGACATGAGCACTACTCCCCAGAGTCAGACACAACTAGACTTAATGTCAGGGGAAACCTTTACCTGTACTTTAAAACAGTGCACAAGCATAATCTAGCCACGTCTATTCAGAAGTGAGCTTCAGTGCTACAGCTTTGGTTCTGCATGGAACATTTATAATGCATATATATATTTATCTCCAATCGATGGTAGGAAAAAGTGAAAATGTTCCTGGAATGAAGTCTCTGAGATGCTTTTTAAAAAATAAAGGATTTAGATCCCATCAAAAAAGGCTCCACGGTTCTACTTTAGTGAGTTTCTCCAATACTGTTAAACAGACTTCCTGCCTTGCCAAACATGAATATAGTATTGTGCATATATTGCAAAAATACATTATAATTTATTGGAGATAATAGAAGAAAATGCTTATGGAGGTTCTCATTCCATATCTAAGACAATTCCCTTGCATTTAGGAAACTATCTCATGAATTGAACCAGGAACGAAAAAGAAGCAAGGTCCGTCCTGACACTTTTTCAACAGCTATTCAAAGGTGTGGATATTATGCTAACAGTCCAAACCTACTTCAGGCCACAAAAAGATTTAAATCTGCCTAATTGTGTTTTATGGGAAGGAAACCATGCATTTATTATTGCAGCTGTCGAAACATCAAGGCTGAGGGTTTTTCCCAAAGTTCAAGGTAATTTCCTGATTTAAAAAAATGATGAAGTTTTTATTTTCTTCATCAAAAATTGCCCATGAAATACTAAAATGGACATTTAAAGAAACATACAGCACTAAATATAAATGCAGAACAAAGTTCACTGCTGGAATGAAAGATTTTAAGATGAGGGTGAGTTCTGCTTTTCTGAGTTCTGTGTATATAACCGAGATAGCAGGCTGTTTATATAGGATCCCAATCCAAAAGTGTCTGCAATAGCATAAACCTGTTACACTTAATGAGTCAGTATGAAATGTTCTATTATACTCATTTACTTTTTACAACATTGACTTATTCTTGGTGATGCTTACATTAGTTATGATCCACTTCCCAGCAAGTTTCAAATGAGAAATGATGACATTATTGAAAATTTAAGTTTAGGAGATATAACTTTCTTGCTCAATGAAGCATGAGGTTTAATTACAGAAATGCCAGCCTGCCAACCATTACTAATCTCTATTTAACTTCTCTGTGTGTTTTTTAAAAATGCTGTTGTGTTGAGCAAAATGAAGACACAAACTTCTTACATGTACAAAGATTAGCAATGTTTCTAGAACATGAATGGATAATTTGTGTTCTCCAAATGCTGACTGTACACAAGAGGGAAGGAGGAAGTTGCAGTCCAGCCATAACTGGTAGACCATGTCATGTCCATCCCTGTT